CCCCAAAACCCCAAAACCCCAAAACCCCAAAACCCCAGTGGCCATTATCTGATTTTTTAGATACTATATGCAGATTAATATATAAAGGTCCAAAACTTATATAACTCTATAACAAGAAAAAGAGCATGAATCACTGCTTGAAATTTATCTAGGGAAGCATTGATTCTGACATCGAGTTTTGATTGTTATTATTACTACTATTATTGACTTGATCCTTTTAGGAATTTTAAGAAGGTTTTTACTAAATTGCTGCTCCACTATTGTTATTGCTACTTTGTCTCTATGTTTCACTCTAACCTCGCATGCCTTTAAGCTCTTATACAGCCTTGGCAATAAATGGGTGCGAGAAAGCTTATTCTGGAGTCAATCTTCCTTCAACTTTCCACTCAAGACATCTCTAATAAAAATGAAATTAAGATAATAGACTTACATCTATAAAATCGATAAAGTCTTTCTCGGGGCAGTTCATTATATTTTATAGGTTCTTTGTATTCGGCTATCTAATTTTACCTCTAGTGTTTGGTACCAAAATAGGTTAATAATCATCATCAAAGAAGACTTTTCTCCTGGTAGATCTTGCTAGAACTGATCTAGGAGGAACTCCTTTAACTTCCATCATCATAGCCATATGCTCTTTTTCATCTTCTCCAGGAAATAAAGGGTATCCAACAAATAGTTCATAGAGAATACAACCATAGCTCCACATATCAATAGCTGCTGTATAGGGTATTCCTAGTACAATCTCTGGAGCTCTATAGAATCTTGATTGTATATAGGTGTAAATCTTTTCATTTTCAAAGCAACCACTTCCAAAATCGATAATCTTAATCCCAGATTTGTTTAATTTTCTAAGTAAAATATTTTCTGGCTTCATATCGCAATGCACAATGTTATGCTCTTTCATGAAGAATAAAGAGATTAGAATCTAAATTGCAAATCTCTTGATAAGATTGAGAGAAAATCCCTGGAAGTTATTCATTTTGATAAACTCATATAGGTTTATACTGAGCATTTCGAAAGTTATAATAAGATGCTTCCTAAATACTTATTAGTCGAGTTTCCTTATTATGTTTTTCTTATCCTCAGGATCAGCTTTATTTAAGGTCTCTATAAGTTTAGCTTCAACAAGACCTTGTTTATAAAGCCTTTTTTTGTTTTTCAAAATTTTTAAAGCCATAAATTCCTTTACTTTATGATCGAAGACTCTAAGGACTATACCAAATGAACCCTTTCCTAACTTTTTAACAACTTCATACCTATAGGCAATGTGTTCATGCATGATAACGTTGTATTCATTATTTTCATTGTCAAAGCCATAGTTATTTAACTTGCTATTGTTAGAGCCCATTTGATTTTACTAGCTTTAGTTGCCAAGAGAGGACTGTAGCATGCTTGAAAGTCCTTTTCTTCTCTCATTTATGTTGAAAAAGTAGATCATATCATACTCTAGAATTTCTTATTTTTCATATTCCCATAAGTATGGCTGTAGAGCTTTGTAGGCCTCTTCGCAAGTCAAGGGGAATTTCTAAGCGCTTTAAGAATATAATAATTACAATGCTAAGTTTTGAAACTTGACTGTCATCTGTGGATTCTTGCATCATAGTTTCTTGCTAAAGTCTGCTCGATAAACTCCCTCCTCCAATGATTCTATACTGCTTTTAGCTTACATTTTGGTTTTTATTTTGAGGAATTTAAACTATATCACTATTATTTTGGGGTAATATTACAATGAGGATTTTAAACGCTATTTTTAGCTGAAAGAAATTAATCTTTCTAGCCTCCAACATATGTACCGTTCGCAATCTCAGCCTAGATGTCAAGACTTTTAGCATTGTAACCACCTTTCATCTCTAATGAGCAGATAAACACTAATTGTATACTTACTTCTTTGATTGACCTGCTCCTTCCACTTTTGCTGTTGATAAGCCTAGATTAACTGAATTTCTTTATTGCTTCCCTTTATGCTCTCATTTATACCCTTGTTAATCTTTTCAATGGAATTGTTTAGTGAAGCTGCAACATTTTTAGGTGAATTCACTGCTGTAATTGATGGCATCTGATTGGATTGGTTTCCATTAGTCTGATTCTTATAGATGCTCTGAATCTCCAATGATTGAACTCTGTTATGCACTGGATTTTTTTATTATTAGCCAAGGTTTTGCTGGTAACGACCTGACTGATTTCCTTGATTCTAAGTTGGACTTGGTAAGCCATTATTAAAGTAGAATCCATTTTAGATTGGAGGCACTCTCACCTACTAGTCTACTTATATGCTTTATTGCTGCTATTACTGGTTCTAGTCTCAAGTAAATCGTTTGCTTCTAAAATTTTAAAGATTCCTTGCACTTGAATTTCCGTTCGCAATTGTATTATTAATAATTTGGCCAATACTTTGATTCAGGGCTTGGCCTTTCGCACCACCATTTATATAGGATGATTAGTTGTCTATTTATTATTATAAGACTAAATTTAGAAGGTGAGATTGAGGATTGTTGGATACTTACTTTTTTAATTGGGGACAATTTTGAATGAGTCTATAGTGTTTTTGTTAAGTGATAACTGCAATTATTGTTATATTTACTGATTTTATGAGGGAGATGGTATATTTTTCATATCCCTCATTGTGTACTGAGCAGCAATCTCAGGACCTCCAATGGGCGAGAAAGCTATCTCATTCCTGACTTGATTATTTACTACGAGTGAGTTCTTAATAGTATTGCGGCTATTTCTTCTATTTCGTTGCGACCTTTATTCTTATTTTTGATTATTCTAATCTCTTTGACTCAGTCCATCGCCGCCGTCTGTGCTTTGAATTGTGGCATTCAAATTGATGGTCTAGTTCTTCATGATTTAAGCGAACTAGTTCTTGTTTATGACCATCGGGGAGTTCTGTTGAATTGAGTCTCTGATGTTTACCTGAGACTCTGAGTCTCCATTCATTTACTAAACAAAAGAGTTTTACTGCTTCATGTTTTTAGTTATCAATTAATTTATATTCTCAACTCTGCATCTTACTTTTTTATTATTCTAGTCCATGGGGTTTTGGGGTTTTGGGGTTTTGGGGTTTTGGGG